CCAAGACAGAAGAGCCGAGTGCCTGATCTTAACAGGGGGGAGAGTGCAAACCTGTATATCTGTGAATGTGTAAATGTTCTATTTTCAGTGTTGTGAATTTCTTGCAATGTAAATACATGTATGTGAAATAAACTAACAGATACTTTCTAAAACTGAGCATGAGGTACCAGTGTTCAAAGAGACATAAGTAACTATTTGACGAGTTTTATCGTCAAGGTGATGATACTGATTTTCAGTCTGAACATAACTGATTTCTTCAAGGCTGTTAGCCACAGTGGAAGAGGGCACCATAAAAACACATTGTGCTAAGGTAGGAGATATGGTATTTGACTATTCAAGCAGTTGATAATTGTTAGGTCACTCATGCCAAACTTAGTTTCCTTATCATTGATCTAAACTATCCACCTTTTGTGGTGAATATGTAGAACACCTAAACCAGAAATTCAGCTCAAATTCCAAATATGTTTCAACTACTGCTCTCAGCTGCAGGATCACATCTTCAATTTGCTAATAATTGTTCCTTGTCTTTTTTCCCTATATAGTGAAAAGAGACTATTGCACTTGCAACTTCATTGTATGAGAATGTTGCCGAGGCAGTCTGCTTTGGAATATGTTCGTTTTGAGATCCTGGAGTCTCAGTTGCTTAAAACATGGATACATTATCTGATCAGTGATGACTTATGTAGAAGTACAGGCACAGGCAGCATGTTACCAGTACTATGGACCAGTGAATATGATTCTTTTCTGATGATGTGTAGGTAGTTTTACAATTTTTATTTTTCTGAAATAGAAATTAAGCATTAGAGTCAGAATATTCCAGGTGTAAACCTGACCTCAGTTTCTGCTCCTGCCCAAAAGTCAGCGTAAAAATTTGTCAGTGCACAGTTGTAACATACATCTTCTATGCTGTTTATCTGTGCTATATTTAATTAACTAGCTTCCTTCTGTTCTGATGAACAGTACACTGAAAGAGCACGTGGCTTGCAGAGTGAGCTGCCTGTTGCCTGGGCACGCAGAGAACTGTTTCTCTGCCAGACTTGCTCTTTAGAAAGTGTAAGGGCAGGTGTGTACGTGTGAGCCTACCTTCTGTTGCAGGTGCCTTGTCCTGACACCCCACTCCCACTAGGGGGCGCAGCGGTACCTGATGTGTAGGACCTTTGGCGTTATGGTCTATCTATAGAAAGACAGTTTTAGCTTTTCCATGAGCCCAGTGTAGCTCCTGCAGGAAGATCACGCTGCCAACCTGCAGTCTCCTCTCTGGAATGACTCAAGTGCCTCAGCTGGCCATTGACAGAGGCAGCAAAGAGAGGGTAGTAAGATGAAAGAGAGAAAAAGGGATTCAGAGCACCTAAATTAACCTGCTACCATTATACAAAAGGAGCTCTCTCCCTGTTGACTTCTGAAGGACTCCTCTATGATGAAGGAAAAGAGCAGCAAGATTAGCAATAGCTAAAAATCAGACTTCTCAAATGCAAACCCTGAGCACTGCCGCACATCAGCCCACTGTATACTAACCCAAGATTTCCTTCTCTGGTGCTACAAAACTAGCCTATTATTGCTACATTTGTAGCACACTTTCCTTTTGTGAAAGGTAACACTAAACCAACACCGAACAAATAGTTTCTCTTACATTTTATCATTTTAAGTGTTTTATTTTTATTTTCTCTTAATCCCTTACACTCTCACCATTGTCATACTTTTAATTTTCAAACATTTATAAATATAGAGATTTGGGGGGGGGTGGAATTTGGATTAGACTATTGGCTGAGACCTGTTCCAATGTCAACTCTTCTATGATCTTTCTGACTCAGCTTAAACGCTGCTGTTTGAATTTGCATCATATCTCAGGCCTCACCCTGAACTCTTTAATGCTGATCATTTCACCAAAGTCATCCTTCTTAAAAAAGGCAAACAGCAAAATTTGGGCTTCAGGCACAGTGTTACAGCGATGACCTGCTTCCTTAGGGACAAGTGGCTTTCTTTAGAAACACAAAAAGGGAGCAAACTATGGAAATGAAGGAGCCCTCCCTCCTCTCCCCTTATTTATTGCTGAGCATGATGCTGTATGGCATGGACTAGCCCTTTGGCCAGTTCAGGTTGCTATGTCTCCTTCCCAACTTCTCCCCCCCAGGCAGGGGCAGAGCAGAGGAAGAGGCAGCCTTGATGCTGTGCAAACACGCTTAGCAAGAGCCGGGACAGCTGTGTTATCAGCCCAAGGTTTAGTTGCAAATCCAAAACACAACCCCACACAGGCTGCTATGAAGAATGTTAACTCTGTCCTCTCCAGAGCCTGCACAAAGTAAAATCAGTTTGCATTTGGAAAATACTGCTTATTTAGAAAGGACATTCTGAGAATTACCTCAAGTGAGAAAATAGTCTGTTTCTGTGAGCAGTTTGAAATCACATCCTCTATCTGTTGACAGAAGGGAGTGGGTTTAATTCCAGTGATGTCAGGCAGAATAAAAGGGGTGTCAGCATAGGTCTCATGGCCAAGTAACTAAGAAGGAGGTGTCTCTTTGTAAAAGGTGAGGGTCCTTACCTTGCTCCAAGCAGACTACCAGGATCCCTGGCGAGGCAGGAGACTTTACCTGTGATGATCTGCTCCTCAGAAAACACTGCAAAAATACAGTGAGGTGTCTGTGATATGGTCTGGCCATCAGATGTTAACATACAGCAAATACTTACAAGGAAGTGAAGTCTGCAGACTGTGGCTAAGAGCAAAACTTTTCAGAAAACAGGCATGAGAAAGAATATTAAAATTGAATTTTTAATTTTTTTATAAAAGATTCCAAGAAAGCCACAGCACTTGTTTGGGGAAAATACTAACAGAACCGAATAAAAAGCATCCCACAAAACATTCCAAAGTGAGAGCTGACAGCAAAACATTTGGGAATTACAGATTTACAAGCTCATCAAGCAGAGTTACAGTGAAATCTTAAGAGAGTCATGAGAGAATGTGACACCATCCTCTACCAAGTGAGACCATCCAGAGACATGTCTCCAGGAGCTTCGCAGTTCAGTTTTGTGACCTACTACCACCTGCTTTGATGCAAGGGTCCTTCCAGCTCCACAGCCACAGACTGTCTGATCATGTGTTTCCACAGAAAGCTGTTGATGCAAGGAGTCACCAATTCATTTTTCATTGTGAGCACAAGTCCATGGCTTTTATACAAAGAGAATATTTGACCAGCAAGTAGTGTTATTTTCAGGTTTACCTATTGCAAATACAAGCTGTAAAATCAAGCAGCAATTTATGATTCAAGTATATAGACTCCCAAATGTTAAAAGCTGTATTCCCTTCTCTCTGAAGAACTGAGCTAAGAGATAAAGTTCTTGCCTGGACAAAATTTGGTCTAATTGTCCTCAGCCTCCTGCTTCCATCCTGCTCCAGAGCAAGAACAGAAGATTCAGAGCTGAAACTACTACCTGCATGGTGCAATGAGTGTGCACGAAGAGCACAAGCTTTCCACTTGGTTTCTTCAGACACAAAGCATCAACATCACTGTTTGCACTGAGAAATCAAGCAGTTGAGTATCAGTGCAGTTAGATTATGTGCAGTCAGATCCTCTTCATATTCCTACCCACCAGTGAACACACTACACCTTTTCAAATACAACATCACTGAGTGGCACACCAAAGCAGTCACACCAAGGGTCTGAATTCATCATTAAAAGCTTTCAAAACCTGTTGCACTTCATCTGTCTGTCAGCAAAGAATGTATTTAGCAGGAAACACCACCACAGTTTCATTCCTCACAGTTACATTCAATTTCTCTTTTTAAAATTGCTATTTCAAAGTATTCCTCTCTCCAGGATTTTAGCTTTAGAGGTACACCATAATTTGTATTTTATATGCAAAATAACCTGGTAGTTAATGCTCAGACTCCTACAGAAATGGGTTATTTCTAGAAGGCAATCAGCTGCATGGGCCAGCACTAGTCGTTGCCCACTTCTCCAAGGTACTTCCTCTTTCCACTAATATAGTTCATCCTTCAAGCTTGTCCTTTTCTGCAAGGGCTCCAAAACATTACAGAAAGTGCCATCAAAAATTCTACCTTGTCACAAGTCATTATTCAGCATCAGCTTCTCCAGGTCGAAGGCAAGACACAACAATGTTGACATTCAAAATATCATGTACTCTGTTGTAGCAAGGAGGACAAGTTGGTTATCAGTGCAGATTATAAGCATCCCAACTGTTCTCCCTGTTTTTCAGTAGCTTGTATTTTGAGGAAGACTTAGAGGAGCACAAATCAACCTGAGCTAATACTAAGCTTGCACAGGGGTGGAAGAGGAATTTAGTAGACTTAAACTCACAGTGTAAGACGGTGGTCTCTTTGGAAAAGAGAAACCTTTGCATTAAACCAAACTTTCCCAAGACTTCAGGTACCTGAACCAGTAATAGAATCCTTTACAAAGCAGTTCAGAAAGCCAAGCAGTAACTAACTATGGAACAACTAGTTTTGGCTGATGTGGCAATAATGATGGGGCAAGCAACCTTCTGCTGAAACCTCAACTGAAACACTACCAACAAGTAATTTGCAAGCAAGTCAGCTCCCATCTCCTCCCATATCCACTATGATCTTTAACACAGGCCCAGATAACATGTCCTGAATGACAACTGTCAGTGTCAAGCTTCTCAGAGACTGAATGGTACAAGGCCAGAGTGGGAATGGAAGAATCTCACTGACCAGTGTGAGCAAACAGGTACCCCACCTGCACACTTCTTGTACAAGAAGACTCTGTTAAGAGCACATGAATAGCAAAGAAACCTGGCTTTGAGTAGTGGGGTAGTTTAAGGTTCACACTGATTTGGCTAACTGGCCTTGCCCAAGTCAACTGGCTTACAAACTGCACCCATGATTTAGTAAATATTTACACATGGTGTATGTGAACATACTGAACCTGAATAAACCTTACCACCAGACTTTCCACTGCAAATGCATATGGTCTCCCTTCATTCTGCTCTTAATGTATTAAATAAAAATAAAATCCCATTACTCCCCCAAGCCCCAGCCTGCACAAGTTCTCTGAAAATAGATAATGATTAAATATCAATCTGAAGGTTCACAAGAAATGAACTTCTTAATTAAATGAAACATAGCTTCAAACAAGCAACACTGAATCTATTCCTCCATTAAAGAGAACTAATAGTCCCTGCATAGAGGAAGCAGTAAATAAATGTTAGAAGTACTATTAGTTAAGACATCAGACAAAAATAGATCAGATTCCTGACTTGCTCTTTTTGTCTTCACATAACAACTCCATTTGGATGTCTGAAACTCAGCCCGCCTCAACAAAAAATATTGCTTTCTACTTGCAGTGCATGAATACTTGTGGTATGAATAAAGGAAAGACTTTCAGTTTCAAAACATTTAAATTACTGATATATGGAGACGGTTGACTGTCATCGGTTTGTTCCAATGATCCATGATTGCTTCAAATAAGCACAGGTGAAGACTGCTGCAGATGCATCCAAACGCAGGGTTGTTTCAGTAACTTAATAGCACTCTGATGTTTGCCTTGCTGCATTCTTCACTGCTGAAGGAAGGTCAGAGTCTTCAGTTTACAGCAAAAAACAAAACAAGGCAGTTATGAAGATCATGTAACACAGAGCTCTGAAGCCCACAGTGGAGGTTTACTGCTATAGGGTAGCCTGCTTCTGGTCTCTTGGGCACAAGCAGCTGCTGCAGCAGTTGCTCCCTCCTCTTCTGCATCCTCTACCTCCCTGAAATCTTCTGCTTCTTGGAATGGATTCTCCAATAGTTTCAGTACATTTCTTACCTGAAAAGAAAACATTGCATGGTTATGAGAATTCAGAAAGTAAAGCAAAATGATGTAGAAAAGAACCTCACACCAAATAATGATAGAGTGCATTGTATTTAATACACAAACCCCAGACAAACCAAATGTTAAATAGATTAACAATATGCATATCACATAAGCTGAAAACTGTAAAATTGTAGCTGGCTGAGTTTGTATCTGTACGGACCTCAAGCTCAAGTAACTTGACATACAAGTATCAAATACAAGTCCTTCTGTCATTTCTCACAATTAATTCATTTTCCCATATTCTGCATATAACAATCCCCCCAGCTGAACTCCACAGGTGAAAATCAGAAGTTTTAAAAGACAACAGCACAGCAAGGAATGAGTGTACATTAATTCCTAACTGCTTCCCAAGGTAAGCACCATTCTGAAGACAGCAAAAGCAGGGTAAACGTCTTATCCTGGGATCCGTCCCCAAAAGGCGGTGAAGCTCAGATTCAGATTTCCACTTCCTTTCTTCATTCTGCAGTCATTAAAACTACAGCTCCCTCAAAAATACTACAGGTCTTTTGAACCATAAATTCCCAATCCCCTTACTGCCCAAGATGCCAGAAGGAATTTCACCAGCATAATGTCAGTTATCAATAGTACCACTACACATCCATGCAAGCCCAGAGAGATATTAAGGAGTAAGAGCATACCTCTGAGAAATCCCCATTTTCAGCTGCTTCTATGGCATTCTGGGCAATATAATTTCTCAGGATATATTTTGGATTGTTGGAACTCATAACCTTCACACGATGAGTGTGCCAAGCATCAGCATCACTAACACTTTCTATTTCTTTTTGCAAACGGTCTCTGAAATTAAGCAGCGAAAACAATGGTTGGGATCAAGAATCACACATAAAAGTTGAAATGTTTCCTTGCCTTGAGATCCTTAGTTTGTAGGTTTTAATAAACATTATGTCACCAATAATCCCCTCAGTTTATAAAATGCAGCATGACAACAGATAAAACCCCTTCATTTAAAAGCAGCATTACAGACCATCAGCAGGTCCTGACTAGGCTCGAGGAAGCGGCACACCTTGCACATTCTCTGACAAGTCAGACTGAGACACTGGTGCGCAGCCTGTTCTGCACTGCTCCACAAAGACCAGCGCATTTAGATCTTGTCTTAAAGGATTTCTATGCTTGTTTACTGGTTAAAGCTTCTGACATTCTGTCTAAGGGGATGCAATACAGCTGAGGCATTCTGAGCTACCTTTTAGCTGGAACACTTGCTAAAACTCTCAGCCCTACTGGAAAACATGATCACAGGCAGCCAGGTGAGGAATGGAGTCCTGACCTAACCAACTAATGCTCTACCAACAGGGGGTTCTTTGTTAAAAAAACCCAAAACAACAACAAAAAAAACAAAACCAAAACCAGAAAAAAACCCAAACCAAAGTAAACAAACAAGCCCCTAAACAAACCAACCCAAACCAAACACAACCCCCCCTCAGGCTTACACTAAGTTTCTAGGCTTTTAAGTTAGGCCTATTACAACAGTCTGGCCATTCTTTTCCTTCTAATGACTTCTTTTAGAGTTACTCCTGGATTAAGAATACTTCTACTTGATTTCTGTATCAGTAAATAGGTGTTCTTTCTTTCTTTCAGAAAAGAATTTAAAAGGGTAAAAAGCGGACAGGTCAGTCAGCTGTAGTTAGTGAGCATTTAACGGCTCACAAGTGGAATTGCTCTCTACTAGAATCCAACGTAAATGTTATTGAAGCACTTTAATAATAGATTTGACATCAGGTGATCCCTATACCCCCAATCCTCCCCAAACTGTAGTATACATAATACAAACATTCACAGCAACACAGATGTAGTTAATATCCAGAGCTGCATGGCCCCACATCTCTCCCAAACTATATACTCTGAGACAGTGCATTTTTTGTGAGACAAGCATGTCATTCTCAAATAAAATGAGGAAATGAAATACACTGCTCTGAATAGTGACAAACCTCACCTGTATTTCTCCAGCCATTCTTTCCAGTGTCTTTTATTTCTGCTGAGTAAATCATCTTCTGTTAACTGCTGCAGTTTGGAGAACTGTTCAATGCGTTCTAGCTCTTTGTTTATATTGGCTTTTGTTCCAATTAGTGCAAACAGCTGAGGATTAGACTGAGCCAGCATCAGCATCATTGACAGTTGTCTGGGAACAAAAGGAACAAACACATTACATGCTAACCTTGGGCTGCCCATCAAGAACCATTTTTTGCAACCATAAAGTAGCTATGAAAACATTCACAATAATCAATGATTTCACCGGGGGTCTTAAATAACAGCACTTCCTTAACACAACAATTTTAAAATTAGAAATTATGCTAATTTTACTGTTTCTGCCCCCTTCTTCAATGTGCGTGTTTGCATTCCTGTCGTGCTTAAAGTGCAGATTTCCAGAACTCCCAGTGGGTTTTAGATGTGCAATTCTCATCAGAATATCCTTGGAACTTTGAAAGGACTCTGGAATAAGGAATTTGAACTTACTTAGCTATCAAGATAATACAGAGTCGATAGGTTCTGTGTGTTCTATTTCTTTTCCTGACATTAACACTGTATCAGCATGCAGAACAAGGATCCAACGCCTACGATTTTACCAGTACCAATAAATCCCCAAATGAGCTGGGGGAAGGTACCTCATGTAAGTCATATGAGATAACAGTTTGTGTATCTAATTTCTTTTTAGTTAGCCAGTCTAAATCACAGAACGAGAAGTGCTCTGTGGTTATAAATTCCTAACATATCCAGGCTATTTTGCTGCGAGTTTGACTAGGGTTGATTCTTTTCCGGTCTGACTGTGTTAGCTGGTGCTGTACAGCAGCTTTCAGTAGTATGCTATGCTAACTTTCATTTTTCCTGGATTCATAACTGCACTACAGGATAAAGTAAAATGAATAAAAACCCCAAAGAGTGTAAGTTGGAGCATATCAAACTACACTGTTTTTATTTCCTTCTATAATGCATTTATAAACAAAGGAGAAGAATACTATTCCCTGGCCCCAAAACAGAGAACTCATTATATCAGATTATACTTCCCTGGTTTTAGTAAGCAAAGATAAGATAGGTGCTTTGATTTCTGAGTTTATATAATAGAACCCAAATCTGATTTACACATCTGACACACCCAGCTCTACAACATCCAAGTGCTGTGATGAAAGTAGTTCTGCACGCACTTTAACACAGTGCTATTCCCCTCCAAAGCTTTACATCCATATCATGATAATTTATAGCTACTTTTCACGTTCCTCCAAGCCTGAATGCAGTGTTTAATGAAATACTGTCTAGTCTCTGTCACAGGAGCTACCTTCATATTGCACAGTATCTTCTTACAATACCAAAGTGACTGAAAACTGGAACTTAAATAAATCAAGGTGGTGGATACTGCTTATTTAAGTATCTTTCATTTTAGTGTATCACCACAAAACTTAAATAACCCATAATACCTCCAAAATGATAAACAGCTATAGCCAACCATCTTGGCATAACCCCAGATTTGTTCATACAAGTTTCACCCCAATCCATGTCCTCAACTCCCTGCTTTATGCAAATTATTAACAATACACCAAATTCTTCAGCTATTTCTGTAGATTCATTACTTCATGGAGCACATATTGAACAGAGAGAGGGGGAAAACCATGCCCAAAATACCCCACTTGAATTTTTTTCCCAATCTGGGAAATGCTAGGAAAAATATAAAGAATGGGTCACACTCACTCCCTGGTTTCCACTGCTCCAGAAGGTGAAAAACTGCTACAGTCACTGTTATAAGCAGCAGTTGAACAAAACTGATTATTTCCACACTCAAAGTAGCTGGACTGCAGAATATGGCCCATCAAATGGGACACGGATGGTACCACACAGTTTTCAGAGCCTGAGGTGTGCATTTAGGTTATACTCAGCTCAGTATATTGGTGGCTGAAAGTGATCTGCTGTCAGTACATTGGCAGAACATGGTACCATTGTTGTTGAAATCCATTTCTTCTATAAAATATGTCTGCATCACTTCACTACCTGGCAGTCTCATGGCCTTAGTCAGCAGAGACAGAGGAGAAAAAGAAAAAAAGGACCAAGCAAAATCTCAGACAATTTTAGCCCTAGAGCCAACTGCTGCAACTCACTGCTGAGGATCCGCCAGTCACAAAACACACAAGAATTTGCACTGCTCTAGACCATGATGCACCCAGTTAACAATGAAATAGCAAAATCTGAAATCAGTCAAATATTACACAGCATGAAGGGTTCATTATGGTTATAATGAAACTAAAAGCACAGGCCAAAGTGTTTAAGTAAAGGAGAGTATTACCTTGGATCCATCTGTGGTCTGAAAGCAACTTTCAGTTCATCCACAGAAGCACACTGACTTGTAACCTCTTTTAAGAAGTCTTCCAGTTTTGAAGGATCAGAGTCCACCACTGAGAATGAACTCAGCAAGTAGAAAATATTTGTGAAGTCTCCACCTGAAAAGGTGAATACTATGAATAATACAACTGTTCAATCAGCAGGAAAATGGGTCCCACACCTCCTTCCTAACTCCCCCCACAGCAGTACCACTCAGGTCACCACTGTGAAGAGGTTAATTGTCTCTTTCATATATATATATATATATATATATATATATATATATACACACACACACACACTAAATGTAGTACAAACTATATTTTGGTTTGATTACAGATACTGATGGGCAACTAAACAATAACCTTCTGTGCTCTTCACCAACCTGTGAGATGCATGGTTTCGAGGAGCTCTGATACCAGTTTACTATCTTCTTCCAGTTCCAGCTGGATCAGGCCTAGCTTCTTCCTCATCTTCTGTAAATAATGTTTCTCAAATTCTGCATCATATTCCTCTTCCAGGATGAGTTCACTTATTTCCAAGGGCAGCTCTGGAACTAGAGCTTCAGCAAGCTTCCCCAGGTTCCACTTGCAAATCTCTGGCTGCTTGTTGTAAGCATAGCGCCCTGTGTTATCAGAACCATTGCAAATGTGCTCAGGGTCGTATCTACAAATGAAGAAATAGTTAGCATTCTTCTAGCTATCTGGACACCAGCAGAGTGAGAAGTATTATTACTTTAGTCTCCCCTAGGAAACTGAAAGATTTGGAAAGAGAATACTCCTTGGTTCCTTTCTGCCAGTTACCTCATTAGATAATTTCCTGCCCTCTCAAACACTGAGAAACCCCACAGGCTACAAGAACAGTCTAACACTTTGATATGTGAATATGGTTAAAAAGGAGATGAAAAGAAGAATTACAGGGCAACTAGAACTAACTTAATCTATCTTGCCATAAAGAAGGTTCATAAATCTGCTTTAAAGTTAACATATTAAAGCAATCGTGAACATCAAGATAGCTCTACACAGCAAATATGTAACACACATTTCAAATAATTATGCCACACTGACCTGTCCATAAATCCAAAAGGGCCATAGTCAATGGTTAGTCCAACTATGCTCATGTTATCTGTGTTCAGCACGCCATGGCAAAACCCAACACACTGCCATTCAGCTACCAGCCTCGCTGTCCGTTTCGTTATCTAAAAGAAAGGGTTTTTTTCCCATTTATCAACACAATATATTTCCAATACATTCTTGTATTTCCCAGCGTTTCCTAGTCTGAACTGATGTTTCTACAGCTCCAGCAGAAGCAGATTCTGGCAGTATGCCACATACAATTATCTTAAGAACAGCTTGCTTCTCTGTTTCTCAGTCTCCCTTTTCTGTTTGCCTCCCCTTCTTCCCCCTTACTTGACTGCAAGTCAACTGACAGCTTTAAAATGCACTAGAGACAGAACACTGAAGTAGGATAAATTGTTTGACAACGGACTTGCCCACTACTGTAGTCATTATACAAATATATTGGTTTGTTCACCACAAATTTTAAAGACTCTTTAACTACAGGTAGAAAAAAAACATAAGCAAAGTCCAAGAAATAAAACTAACTTCATGCAACAAAGCCCAGCATAAAGTCAGCTTTCTGGTTTACCTGGTATGTACGAGTGATTTACAGGAAGGCAAGCGGTTTGCATGAAAGAAAAGATTCCCTGATAACAAGTTTTAGTGCTGATAAGTACTTCCCTCAATTTGCTGAGAGTGGAAAAAAACTACAAGGTTAAGAAAACACATTCAAAGAACAACAATTTGATTTAAATGCCACTCTTCACTGAATGCATGTTTCATCAGTGTTCTTCCATTGCCTGACTGAGACCTACTGCTGTGGAATCCCTGACTGCAGTCACAGTGCCCCATTCTTCAAAGAAATAGCATAACATTTAAAAGCAGTTCTTGAATTATATCAGCCTAACTGTCAACTACAACTAGATATGCCCTATGGAATCTAAAATTCAGGAAGCTAACCTAGCTTTTAGATAAACCGAGCTATTTCTAAATCCTTTACTGAGCTGCTGTAAATACAAATTTTACACTGCCATTAGCTAAAACTTTTAAATCAAACTATTTGTACAGATGAAATCACTCACCTTCCCAAATAGTTATCAATGTACAGAAATAAAGCTCTCCAGACTGCAGTGTATTTTATTAAGCTTTAGAAATTATTTAGTTAACAGACGAAACATCAGTTCTATGCCTCTGTATTCAAACCTAGAATTTTCCCTTTTTTAAGCGTGCGCAGTCAGGTAAGGAAGAATCAATGGGAAAATCTTGTTCTGGGACAATGTGACAAGGAGTAAACCCAACAAATGACGCCTTGAACAGAAGCTTTTGGCTCACCTTGAGATCTCGTGCTTCCACTTTTTAGAACATTCTCATGTTATGTACTTTACCCATTTCTGCTGAACCGGGCAGTCAGCTGCATGTGTCTGTAACTGATTACTGGCACACCATGAGCCAGTAACGGGGACACACCCTGCACAGGGGCTCTGTGCCAGGGAGGTGGTAAGACTTATAACCAAAAGAAGTCTTGGCAATCAACACTGGGATGCAAGCATTTCAGCAGTAAGGCAATATACTGACTGCTGATGTCTTTGTATGAATCCATTACACTCTGCCAGAGCAAAAGAGAAATCCCACTAATGATAAAACCTAAAAGCAATCAAAGCTTGGGTGCTACTCACAGATGGATATATTGGTTAGAAAGACAGCTTTGCACTCACTTTGACCTTTACTCTTCTTGATCATGTTTTCCTACTATTAGCCATACTAGAAAATAAGTACTGCCTATAGATAAGTAACAGCACTATCTCAAGGGCACCATCATTTAAATTTAAACACACCTCCTACAAATTATTTGAGAAATACAGATAATGGTGCTCGCATTTGACAGAACTGTCTAGAAAGCAAACACTTGTACTTTTTTTCTCCATTTGTTCCACAGTGCATAAAGAAAGATAAAACACATTACAGCTGAGCTGACAGCACATCACCACTACTAAAAAGATAAATGTGCTTCTCAAATTAGGTAAGGAACTGGGATGCTTTTCAGATGGAGAAAGGTACGGAAAATCTCCACTCGAGAGAGAGTGTGAGGATGCAATGGCAGCACAGGTACCAAGCACGACAGCCACAGGCAGGAGCACAACAAATAAACAAAGAAACAGAAACAGGGGCAATAAGAAAGGATGCCAAGATGGGGGGCAGTAAAGCATTTGCTTCTGAAGAACTATTGCAAGTAGGCTCAGGCTGTGTTGAAAGAAAATAAACCAAACACAACAACACCCCCCCCAACAACAAAGATCAAACCAAGAAAACCCCAAGAAAAGCAAACCAAAATACCCCCCAAACCTAACCAAACCACAAAACAAACACCACCTCCACACCCCCAAAGTCAAACCCCACAAAATCCAGAGAATGTCAGATTTTAAGCCTGCCTTTTGGCCTCTTACTGGGCTGTTCTGAACATGCATTTCAAACATTTCAGTACTAAAACCTGGAGTTAGTGATTTTCAGTCAACATTCCTGTTTGTAATTTGGAACATGAGAGACAGAAAGGGACTCAGTGTTCTCAGTAGTTCATAAAATGATGCCTTGCAAGTGGTGTCTTGGTACCATCAACTCGCCATCTGACAGTCAGGGCCAGAATTCCCCCTTGCAGTCTAGGACACTTTCAGCAAATGGAGACAAGCCGTGGGAAGCTCTCCCAGAGCAGAGAAATCACGATTTACTGTTAAAAAGGTTAAAATCACTTTCACAGGTGTGATCAATATCAACATTGCTTTCATCAATACACAGTCCTATTAAGAGTGTTCAAAGGCAGTCAGAGGATACAAGGTATTAACCAACTCCAGCCATCTGTGCTTGCAGATTAAGTTCATAAAGATAACTGCTAGGGATTTAGGAAGAGGCTCTGATCTTTCTTACCTCTTTGAAAAAAGCAGCATTTCTCTGAATACTGTTGTCTGAATAAGCCTCCTGGATTTCTGGATAGAAAGTGCTGATCACGTAATCAAGCATCTGTATTCGAATATCATTGCGGTTAACACTGGGGCCTTTGCGTCCTGTGTATTCGTCAGGAGGTTTGAAAATTTCAAATGAACCAAATCTGTTTTTAAAATAATAAAAACATGTTTAAGTATTATCTGGTACTATTAACATCATATTACATGCAATAAAACCATCTACTGTTGTAACCGTAACACCACATCATCTCCAGCTTAATGTCAGTCCTTTAAATGACCTAGAGAAAAGACCCAAAGAAGAAAAGATTCCTGCACTGAACCTACCAAGGCTCAGTGACTCAACACAGGGAAGCACATACATACAGCTAAACTGACAGATAGGATGCAGACAGTACGGAAAACCAGCTTGTTAAAGTCTCTTACAACCGCTTCTACAGAAAAATTCTTTCCCTGAGTAAAGATATAGGAATAGGACTTACTAAAATACCAGACTGTACAGCAAGTATGTAAGATAGGTTTTTCTATATATATATATAAAAAAATACACACACACATATATGGATATATTCCTTATGTCTCACCTTCCTCTGATTCTAGGGTTCTATTACCTTATAAGAAGCAGTGCAACTTCCTGAAACTCCTAATGTTGTGTGTCAGAGCAGGAACCCTGAACACTTCTCAGGCAGGGAAAGAACACCCAAACTGTGACAGTATGGTATTAGAACAGCTTTGAATCAAGGGTACAGCTAAACCCAACTACCAGCATCAAACCTCCCATGTATTCTGTGCAGGCATAAACGTGAAAAAACTCCTCTGAGGCCTGGAGGACTCAGTTCTTTGTCCTACCGGGCTAGCATCTTCAGTGTTTATCTGTCTCTGTGCTATGAAGCCAGCTCATCCCATCCACTGGACAAGAGCAGTAGCTTCCTACATCCCACCGAAAGAGTTCCAAGCCCCCGTGAGGAGGTTTGCAAGAAACAGGCAAGTGTTTTGGAAACATTTAAAATGGTGTTTTAAAAGACTGATGTGCCTGGCTTTAAAGGAATAAAAAACCTCAACAAAAAATGTTTCTACCTTATGAACGTAGAAGCTATCCGCAGAACAACTGTACACCTTTCATTTTTTGGATTCCCATCGTAAAATATGTCACGGACAACTTTCGAGTCTGATGTCACACATGTTCCAGCCCTCGTTGTTGGTATTCCGAGGTGAAACATAGCCTCGCTGCACAGAAACTCCCGTATGCTCGACCGCAGGACCTTCCGCCCATCAGCTTGCCTGCAACAAGAGGACATGGAGAGTTTTCAGGCTATAAAGGCAGGAACTCCTGTCTACCCCTTAGCAGTGGGGAAACAAAAGCCTAGAAGTGACACACAGTGTCCATGGCCATATGACAAAGTAGTGGCAGATCCGAGAATAAAAGCTGGACCTTCCAACTTCTGTTAAAGTTCAATTTAGATGGCCACAATACACCTGCAATGAAGACCACGAGTAACAGAAGAAAATAAACCTTTCAGTTACACATATCCCTTCTAATCATTAACTCTGTTGTTTCTATTGACACAATAGAGCCTTAAAAAAAAACAAACCTGGACAAGTAGAGCTATTTTATTACATTAAAAGTGACTGGCTACTGTTATGGCACTCCAAAAGTAGTATTAGTTGGATCTCTCTGGGTAAGAAATCTAGAAATGGGGTGTTAAATAGGGGTATGCATGGCAGTTGCATTTAAAAAGCACCCAGACAAACAACAAACTAGTTTACTCAATAGAGAACAAGCAAACAGAACAGGTGCCAGTGGTTCTGAGCCCACATTCCCAGCACTTTAGGAGCCGCAGGCAAGCAGGAGATCTGCCCAGGGCAGACATACAATGCTACCACCATATCTGAGGTTTCCAGTGTGATTTCCTTCACCTTCACTGGAGAAGACCTTCAGAGCACCACGTGTATGAAACTGAGGTGTTACTGAGCCTGTGCACAGCCGGAACATAAAATACATCAAATGCAAGCAGAAGAAATGACCTGAAAGATTAAAAGCAGTGCAGGGTAAACTGACCAAAGCAGACACACATCCCCTGCAGGGATTTGGACAGCATGCCATTTCTGGGGCTTTTCCACCACTCCCTCCCACAGGAAGGACAGAAGAAAGGAAGGATGGAGAAAAAGTACTTCTAGCAGACAACCAGCAGCCACAAGACAGGGCTTTAAGCAATCTGGCCTAGTGGAAGGTGTTCCTGCCCATGGAAACGGGGCTGGAATTGTATGATCTTTAAGGTCCCTTCCAACACAAACCATTCTATGATTTTCAATACCATTCTTTTGGGGCATAATATAACACAGCAGCAAGCACTTTGGCAGCTAGTAATAGTAAACACTGCTGGCCCGACTTCCACCACGATCTGCGTCCTCCTGAAAGGGGAAAGGCTCAGAGGAGCATAACCCGGGACAGAAGTACTGCACCATCTGAGGGAGAAGCTGTTACAGTCTGATTTCCAGAGGAAATTTTGCCACCTTCTGCTTCGGCATTCAAGCATTACGCTTGCTGCAGCGAAAATAATGGGAAACGCGAGGGCTTAAGAGCCGACCTCTGCCCCGGGGAGCGATCCTCTCAGTACGGAACCACCTGCACCAGCACCAGCACCTGCGGGCGCAGACAGCGGCCGGTCCCCGGCCCGGCCTCCCCGCCCGGCGGGTTCGCCTCGCTGGGGGCTGCGGGGGGCAGCTCCCCCAAAGCCCAGCTCCACCGAGATCCTCCGGCACCGCCCCTCCCCTCCCCGCCGGGCCGGGCCGCGGGGCCTTACCGGGAGAAGGGTGTGAGGCCGGCGCCCTTGAGCTGGATCTCCCAGCGCTCGCCCCGCGGGCCCAGCACCTCGCCCAGGTACATGGCTGCGCCGTCTCCCAGCTGCCCCGCGAAGCTGCCGAACTGGTGCCCACAGTAGCAGTGCGCCGCGGGCTCCGAGCCCGCCAGCAGCCGGTTCCCGCTGAAGTACAACGCCGCCTCGGCCTCCGCCGCCTCACGGTCACCCGCGGGCTCCTCCAGCCCCAGCAGCGCCAGCGCCGGCAGCGACATGGCCACCAGCCGCGGGTTCTGCAGCGGGCTGGGCCGCACGCGGGAGAAGCAGGCGCCGGGCACGGCCCGCGGCCCTGCGGCCTCCGAGGCGTCCACCGGTAGCGAGCGCAGCACCAGGTTGTCGAAGCGCAGGGCCCCCAGCCAGCCCGCGCCGCCCTCGGGAGCGGCACCCTGCTGCATGGCGGCACCCGCGGGGCCGCGCCGGCACGGGCCTGCCGCCGGCCGCAGCAACAGCGCGGAGAAACGGCGACAGCGGAGCAGCGCCACCGCCATCCGCCTGCCAGCGGGGAGGGCGGGGACAGGGGCGGGCGCAGCGGGTCCCAAGGTCTGGGCGGGAGCCGGGCGGAGGGAAACGGTGCGCTAGCAGCGGAGCGGAGCGGACAGCGGTAGCAGCCGGTCCCGTGAGGGGGGGGGCCCTGCTCGCCTGGAGGCATCGCTGAGGGGCCGCTGTCTGCAGCTCGCAGCAGTTCGCCGGGGGGTGACTGCTTGCTGCCGCTTTGCTGGTGCCTTGGCATCCGTTATCCAGGGCACGGAGCGTTCGCCTCGGCGCTGGGCTGGCCGGCGTTAAAGATGTCCTGGCTGACGAGGGTAGGCAAGTCAAAAGAGAAGGAAGAACTGGAGAGCTCCCCGAGCCGCGAGGAGAGGGGTGTGCTGGTGCAGGCCATGCTGGAGCACGGCGGGGACCCCTGGGATTATAAAGTCATCGGGCAGGACCCGACCCTGAAAGGTGCAGAGCGGCAGTGGCTGAACTACGTGTCGGTGTACCACCCCAAGGGCGAGAAGAAGTGCTCGGCCCTGCAGTGGCTCCTGTTCGACCTGGCGCGGGCCTTGCAGGCGGCGGTGGAGGAGAAGGAGCAGCGCATCCGGAGCCTGCAGAGCAACCTGCAGGTGGCTCGGAACGAAGTGCTAGCGCTGCGGGGCGACAGCTCGCTGCTGAGCGAGCAGGCCGAGCAGCTGCGCCGGCTGCGGGACGAGCTGCGGGACGAGGCGGCAGAGAACGCCCGCCTGAGGAGGAGGGTGCACTGCCTGGGCACCCTGCTGACGCTGGGGAACGGCTGGGACCAGAGGAAGGTGGCTGCACTCAGTAAGGCAGACCGGGACCCAGAAGTGAGGGATGGGGATGGCTGGAGTGTGGAGGCGCAGGAAGAGTTATCGGTTCAAGGAGTGGGTGGTGCAGCAGCTAGGAAAGTAAAGCCGGCGGAGGGAGATGGAGGCCAGGGAGAGGGGGATATGTCCGGGAAAGAGAAGGTTTGGAGGAAACAGAAGGAGGGGTGGCCCGTGTGGGTGAACCGAATGTGGGCCCTGGAGCGGTGCTCTGCCTTCACGCCGGAGACGGCGAAGCAGGTGGTGACCGCCATCGGGCTGCCGTGGCCCAAGGTGGGGGCCATCGTTAGAGCCCTGCCTGCTGAGGAGGTGTCGGGGGGAGAGATCCTGCGGCTGGTGGTCAGGAACCTGGGAGAGTACGAGCCCCTCAGAGATAACATGGACGGGGCACCCTGGAAGGATGTCCAGGAGGCGTCAGCCTGCGTGTGTGGGAATGTCTTACTGCGGGTGCTGAAGCAGAGGGAGAAGCCAGTGCCCCCTGACTTTGATGTGTTTGGGGTGACGGTGGAGCAGGGGGATGTGGCGGTGCTGGCCTGCCGTGCCCCCGAGCTGCACAAGGGGATTTTCATCAGCCTGGGGGCTACGTTAATTGGCCGCCCCCTCGGTGAGTGCATGGCTGCCTTGGAGAACATGGGGACCCTGATAGAAGCCGAGGGGCAAGGGATGGCAAAGAAGGACAGGATAGGGGTGAAGGGGAGGAAGTACATTCCTAGAGGGACAATTTGGAGATATTTAATAAGCCAGGGGATGAATGAAGGAGAGCTAGATAGCCAGCCCACGAGAGTTTTACTTGCCAAAATGAAGGAAATCTTTCAGGAAAAGGGAGTGAAGCAAGAGGAGATTTGGGAAAAACTGAAGCAGATGAATGCATCGGCTCCTCCCCCTGTCCCAAACAGAAAGCTATGCCCAGCCTTAGGGGGCCTTAAAGATTAAGAGCTGCAACCCTTGGTGTCAGTGGGATTAGCCTCCACCACACTGACCTGGTGTGCAGGGGGCAGGGGCTACATGGGGTTATGATGACTGTTGAAGGGTAAGGAAATTACTTTCTTAATTGCTATGGGATCAGAAACAATGCTATTAGATTATCAGGGTCCTGCCTAAGTCTGTTTGGGTATTGGTAGTGGGAAAGGGCAAACTAGAAGCCCACTTGTGGATGGGTGGATAGAGGGGAGGGAGGTTGGGCAGGAAACATTTTCTTAGTTAATTTCTTGTATGAGTTCAAGGTAGATCTGTACAGAGGGAAGCTGTATTGCTTTGCTACCTAGAAGTGAAGTGATTGCAGGAGCTCCCAATTCAGCAAAGTGCCCGTCTAAAAGTAAAACAGAATCGGGGTAGTAAATGGAGAGTATGAGGTGCTTCCAGCCAGAGACACCCCCTCTTCCTGTTCCAGTGCCCAGAGTACTGAAGCACAAAGGGTTATGAGGAGGCTTGGGGGGTGCACTGAAGGGGGACTGGACTGGGATTTAAAGTATCTATTTTCACAGTTAGTGTGAAATTCACATACCCCGGGACTGTGGGCTCTGTGAATGGTGGAAGCCCCTTGCAACCCCGGGGGTTACACTCAATGATCTGTAAAGGTCCCTTCCAACTCAAACCATTCTGTGAACTGTAAATCCACATCGGGTTATGCTTCTGACCCCTGAGAGTGGGCACCACTTGAACAGTGGCAAATCAATTGTATGAGTCCCTTTAAGTGGCTGAAGGGGTGGTTGTGTCTGTATTTGCTGTTACTGGTAGAATTGCAAGATGGACAGAGGCAGTGGCAGCATCTGAGGCTACTGCTAACATCACTGATGACTATGTGAAGTATTGAACAGATGCAGTCCTCCAGTCTTAACTGATTCAGATACAGGAAACCACTTTACAGGTGCTTCAGTCCCCAGGTCCTGTAAGGGGTGAATCAGTTAACTGATTCCTGCCATCCACAGCCCTCCAGGGTACTGGAGGGAGCTCATAGGTGCATCAAGGTGAGGTGGAAGCTAATTGCTGAAGAAAGAAGACTAAGCTGGAGCATTCCTGTTTGCGTGCTGAGCCATGGGAACAAAGAGCTCACCAGGCACCACTGTGGTCCTGCCCCACAGACATGGGAAACGGTGTCCTATCCACACCCTGAGTATGAAGCTGGGGGCCCAGAGAAAATTTAGGGGTGGCTGTGTTTTGTGGGTTGGGAAACACAAAACTAAATGGAAACAAAAAGGGGGTGGGGTGAGTGTTGTATGTTTTGTTTGTAGATGGGGCCCACTGCCCTGAAACCAAAGGGAATGTTTCCAACATGTTGGTAAGACTGGTCTTCAGGATCACATGTGGCTGTGGGATTGATCATGGGGGTGGAGCACAGTGTCACCATCTTCAAGGTGCTCATCACTGTGCTCAACAAGAATATTGTAAAAGCATTGCAGGCCCCGTTCATGTCTTCTTGTGGCTTCTGGGAGTGTAACTCGTGGTGTTTGGTAATTGTGCAGACTGTATGTGCATTGCTTCACCTCTGAGGAGAGCGGGAGGATAAAGGTGATCTCTGTGGCTCCAGGAGAAGACCAAAGATGTGGCATTACACCTCGTGGCATTACATTCATTCACCTGTTCTCAAAAGTGGAGTTTTGTTCCAGACTGAGGGACTAACGGTGTCTGTGAGCTGAGCATCTCTGGGATGGGGTGGTCAGACAACATGACAGCATACAGAAGGGAGCTGAGAAGCTGGAGAACAGACAAGTTGCAAGCCTGAGACCACCTTGGCGAGTAAGGAACTGTCAGAACTGGAGACTGAAACTGTGAGCTGTATGTTGTTGCTTGCTATATCATCATGAGTTGGTTTCCACAACTACAGTTATATAGCACTTAATCCTGTACTATTGTTATGAGGCACTTAATCCTGTACTTGTTGTCAGTTATGATAGAAGTCATGTGGTTCTTTATTCTTCTGTATGTGCTCTGTTTCAAAAGGGAGGACTGTGCTCATGTGCCCAGTTGAATGCCTTGCGTGCATTGCCAGCCTTAACAGTTGTGGTGGCCTCCAGCTGGAAGGGGTTGTGTTTACCAGCATCCGGAGTGGTCTGTCTGTCCTTGGAGGAGGTCAGCAGACCAGGGGGTGGCTTGTGAACAAGGTGTCCTGCTGGATCATGCAGCCCCCAAGAGCCAAGACCATGCCAGTGCGGGCAAGAGGGTGACAAACAAGTGCCCCTGCTGCTGCCTCCAGTATGTAAACTGACAGATAAGGTCCTGCTAGTGCTTGGGCAGCTTGCACAGGAATCAAGGCTAATGTGGAATAGTTGTGTCTGATAACTGCAGGAGGTAAACTAAGCCTAGTGGGACAACCATGGGGGAGTTTTGGGGAGCTAGGCTGCCTGCAGTTGATATTCCCGCCAGTAACTCTGTGTAAGGCTGCAACTGCCTGAGTTGATGGCAGTTGAAATGCCACAGTTAGGTGTGGCTGTAACAAAACCAGGACCAGTGGGGAGGAAGTAATTGGAAGCAGGTTGTTTATCTGGGAGGGATTTGGGTGGAGGAGAAGAGGTGTCAGAAAGGTGACTTCTGATGCTGAGGGATTAAGTCAACTGAAGAGGACCAGAGGGCTCCTGCTGATGGAGGGAGTGTGGATGCCTGCAGCTGACAGTGACAGTCACCTGCAGACTCAAGCCCTGGGAGGCTGGGGGGCACTGCCTGGGATAAGCTGCTGAACTGGCTCCATCAGGTCTCTGGCTTCATGGTATGGTGTGGGGGCATGAACCTGCACCTTGGGACTTGCAAAACTGCCATGAAGGGGTGGCTGTGCATGAGATGCATTAGATCTGAGATGAAGAGCTGATATCTTCATAGCTGTGCCTTACGATTTGCATAAACATGTAACTTGGTCACTATTATGGTACTTAAGTACTGTTTAATTTTGTCTCTCTACTTTTCTCATGCTGTATTCAGCAGTCAATAAACAGTGTGCCTCAGTTATGTCTTGGGATAACTGGTCTGAGGAGCACCGTCACACCCCATCACAGGAGTGGTCCACACTGTGGGAGTGTTGCCTCCTACAAGCCTTCCTCTAACAGACCTGGGCATCCTCGAGAGGGGTGACCTTACGGGTCAGGCCCAGGAATGCTGCTGTTGGCCGGCTGCCTGGGCACAGTCAGAGAGGTAGCAGTCCATGTGCGTAGAGACCAGGCAGAAACTGATGATGACCACAATGAAC